AAAAAGAAGTGAAGAGATGTTTTGCATATATTAACTGAAATAAAAAAAATAATGTAATTGAAGTCAATATATATTCCACTTATTCGTAAAGTAATTCTCACAGCCATCGACAAGCTGTATTAAATTAACATTTGGTTAGGAATCACTTGAAAAAATTTAAAATTAAAAAAGAACTCTGTATTTAATTGAATAATTATGGAAAAAAGTGATGAAAAATTAATGTTTCTTAGACTATTGTGAATTAATGATCACAGGAATTTAAAACTGTGAACATATTATACAAATATGGATCAAAACTTTGATGGATATGTCTTTCTTGTGTGTCTATTACAATATGAATTACAAAAACCTAGTTCTTTGCTTGATATTTTCGTGAAAATTTGAATTATATTATTTTGGCGTTTTAAATATCTCTTTATTGGCTTTATCGAAACTAATTTATAAGAATTCCAATTTTGGTGAGTGTGTCTTTATACTATGTAACCTTCATTTTTTTCTTTGTAGGTTTTGAACAGTCAGTATACTTTTAACGAGATGTACATGAATTGCATAAGCCAGAAAATGGAAGAGCTTAAGCCTTTTGGTGATGTGCCCAAGAAACTGACCGTGGAAGTGAAGAGATCTTTTGTGGCCACTAGAACGTTTGTTCAAGCGTTGGCCATTGGCCGAGATGTTGTCAAGTTTATACAAGAAGTAAGTAAACTTTTTTCATGTTTATATGAAAATAATAATTTGCATTTGGATATACAAAATAAAAACCACTAAAATTTTTCTGATTTATTTATTTTCATTTGAAAAAATGCACATTTGCCTTCTTTGAGCCGGTAATTTAAAACAACGGATTCCCAAAACTTTTTTTACAATTTTTCGAAAATTACTCGAAGTTACATTTAATGATTTCGCAATTTTTAAAAATAATCGCACGGAACTTTTTTCTCTTGCGTCAAACATTACTATCTATGTTTGGACAAATAATTGAAAAATTTACTTAAAAATTTCAAATTCAAATTTAAAAAATTCCGTTTTTTTTTCTAATCTTTTTTCGAGGCTTTATTTTTCCAGTTTATTTCATGTATTTTTTTTTAAAATTACCTTTATTTATTATCAATGTTTGAAATTTGGAAGCTTCTACTTAAAAAGCCTTCAAAGAATAATAAAGAAAACGTCAAAACTTTTCTGCAAATTGCGTATTCATTTTCCCATGAAGTTCCTCTCCACCTCCCCTTTCGATCTTAAAATATAACGGACTGGAAAGAAGTGGATGAAATTTCAAAAAGGGAAATTTTAATATTGAAATAACCGAAAAGTACTGACGTCGAGAATGCAAGCGTAGAGAAAGTGGGAAAATGTTATACACTCGAAAAATCTCGTGCTATGCAGCTAGTTATTCTATGAATTGACTGTTAAAAAACCGGAAAGAATCTTTATCATTCAAGAACAAAAGGTAAAAATTAGTATTTTCTCGAGATTCGAATGAACGGTGCTCTTCTCTTTCGTTAAAACAGGAAATGACACGAATGTTCGAACTGGTCCTCTTGTGACTGGAAAAATCTGGTAATAGCTGAACAATTCCTGTTCCTTATTATACCTAAGGAACCTCATTCTCCAACTGGCACTTGAAAAGTTTCTCGTCAGTTTCTGATACCTGAAATCACGGCAGAGAATCTATAGCTTCAGTTCTAGCAAAAATAAGTCTCTTGCGCTCTTGTCAATTGAGCCTACGAAAGATCTTCAACTGGATCAGTTATTAAAAAGATTTTTTAATTGTCTGTATATTGTGAGGAACTTTTAAAAGACAAGTTGCGATAAATTTTAACTGGGCTTAGATACTATTACGTGCCACAATATGAAAAGATGAAAAATGAGGTATCCACATGGGCACATTGTTTTCCTCACTTGATAATGGCTCAGAATTATGAGGTTTGTCGTCTTAAAGATAGCCTTTAGAATGATTCTTACGTTATGCCAAGATAGAAATAAGTCGATGTTAGTTTGTGCAACTGCTTAGTAAAAAGAAAGGTTTTTTTTTTATGAATAACTAGCTGGTACGTCCGTTCTTCGCACGGGTGAATTGAAAAATTCAACAAAACAGATTGAAGGATAAAGAAGTTTTTAATGAATTAATTTTACGCGAATTGCAAACTAAAAAAAAAAAGCTTTTGCATATCTCAGCTGAACAAAAAAACCATATTTGTTAAATTTTAAGTCTGAAGGTCTAATAGCTGATAAAAAAGAATTTATATATATGTATAACGCCCTGTTACACTTTTGTGGGTCAATTTTTGAAAACACTCTTCTGAGCTAATCTCTGTTCAACTAAAGTAACACATTGTTACAAATTTTGAGTAATGAACGCTTAAAGTAATGTAAAAAATTTATATCTGGATGTGTAATACGTTAATATTACTTTCTGTTGTATTTATTTTATGTTAAAATTATAATATTCGCTAGCAACGCCGTTCCTTTCATTATAATGGTGATTCAATGGAAACGTAACGAAATGTTGGTGATAGAGCCAAGTTGGCATCGTTTTTGGCGACTACGTTGGCAACTTAGCTATTTAATTGAACGGTTTAGAAGTTGGTATGCTGTAGCGCCACCTGGTGGGGAGCTGCAACAAAGAGGATAGCACAAAAACTTAATCCGCAAAAAAATACATATACATGCCAATTTTCCTAGTGATCAGTTGAACGTTGTTGGAGTGAAACAAACTCATAATTTTGAACGACATGTTGCTATTAAGGTGTATAAAAGCCGCTTTGAATTAGGCAAAGGTTGAATCTTGAATATCTCTTCATCAAATAAAATTTTATGTTTTAGAGGAAATCTTTAAATATTCTAATTGAAATTTATTTTTTCTATGAGGAAGTTAGTGTGGAATTGCATTTGAATAAATCTTGACTTTTATGCGATGCACTTCCTGCGAGGCTGTCAAATTACATCACGTGATCCTAATAGAAACTGATAATTTCAGTTTTTGAAAGTGATGTACAATGATTTAATTTTAATTTACATCGTACTCTGAAGCAACACGAGGTCTATAGGCGATGGACATCGCAATTTGTGGTGTACATTTTAAAAATTATTGAAGAATTGTTTTAGTCACTAAAACGCACGCACTTGTTTTAAAAATAACTTTTATGGCTAATTTATACACATAAAAATGTTTGTATACATGGCCTCGTTACACTCCTACACCGTTCAACCGATCACTATGAAAATTGGCATTTATATGTACTTTTGTAGAGAAGGTTTTTGTGCTATCCTTTTGTTAAATCTCCCCACCAGGTGGCGCTACAGCATACCAACTTTTACACGGTTCAATCAATCGCTAAATTGCCAACATGGTGGTCAAAAATGATGCCAATTTGGCTCTATCGCCAACATTTCGCTGTGTTTTCATTGAATCGCCATTATAGTGTAAGGAACGGCCTTGCTTGAGAACATTAGGATTTTAACATAAAATAAATAAAACAGAAAGTAATATTCACGTATTACACATCCAGATATAAATTATTTACGCTAATTTAAGGATTCATTACTCAAAATTTGTAACAATGTGTTACTCTTGTGTTGAGCAGAGATTAGCTTAGGAAGGTGTTTTCAAAAATCGACCCATAAGGAAATTACAGGGGAGTTATAAATAAATAAAAAAAATCCTTTTTATCAGCTATTAGACCTACCGACTTAAAATTTAACAAATATAATTTTTGTTCAGCTGAAATATGCTAAGCGTTTTTTTTTTAAATTTAATTTGCAATTCACGTAAAATTAACTGATTAAAAACTTCTTTATCCTTCAATTTATATTGTTTAATTTTTCAATTCGCCCATGCGAAGGACCAGTATACCAGCTAGTTTATAAGAATATCAGACGTATTTTCTACACAGATATATGTATTTAAATGTAAGGAAATAGGGGGAAAATATTAAAACTTCTGTTAACTATTTTGTTGTGAATTATATTTTAAAACACGATAACATACAAAATATTCAATATCAAGAAAAGGACATTGAGAGAGAACTTATTTTTCTTTTTTCTACAAAGAAAGGAAAAAGGAGTTCACCAATTCTTTATAAATTTAAATTCATGGGACAGTATATACTTCTGACATAAAATACACTTCGAAAAAAAAAAAGAGGAACTAAAAACCAAGATAAAAATTCTGTTCTGATTCCTTTTTATTTTTATATATATACATATATATATATACACTGCTTACACCCTCCCCTCCCCTTGCTGAAGGACAAGTGTTGATGAAATTTGAAGTTTAGTAACTCAATTTTCTTCCTCCTCAAAACTGTGTTTGGATTAGTAAATCGAATCTCCACCCAAAAAACCGCAGGCGTTGGCGAAAAAGTAAAGAGGGGAAAAATGTATCTGCGAAACGAGGAGGAGCAGGGAGTAAAAAGGGGAAAAATAGGAAAATGGAAGGGATTTTGTGGAATTGAATATCTTAAAAGGACCTCTCAGCAAGTCTATTCTTGTACCACAGTAAATGTCCGTTGATCGATTTTAAAGGAGTATTTGTGCAAAATGAAAAATCACTTAGGGTGAGATATCGCCATATGGCGGTGAAGGTTTTTTAGGTGTTTGTTCTGGTTTAGAACCCCCCCCCCCCCGTTTTTTTATCGTCCCGGAAATATTGTATTGGTTCTGATTTATTTGGAGTATTATATTCATATTATTTTTAACAGTTTGATGTAACTCTTTTTTTTTAAATACGAATTTCCTTTTAGATGGGATTTTTCCAATTCCTATTGCTTCACACTCTCCCTATATGTATTTATATATCTTGTTCAAATTTTCAATCGTTAATAAAGTACTTTTTATTCATCCATTCAAGTTCAAATACATTTTTTTAAACTTGTAGTGAATGATACTTGATGTTAATACAGTTTTTTCAAATATTAATTCATTAATAGAATTTGAAAATGAATAAATAGTAACAAGTAAAAATAATAGCCCAACAGTATATCAAAAGGAAAATCGATCGTTGAGTCCCTGTAGCGCAATGGATAGCGCGTTGGACTTCTAATCCAAGGGTCGCGGGTTCGAACCCCACCAGAAATGGCCTAATTTCTGAGAATGTGATTTCTTTTTTACTATACTATTTTTTAAGAATAGCTCAGTTTAATTAATGAATAAATTGTTACAAACAAACAAAATTAGTCCCAACACCATACATAGAAAGGAAAATGGAAACTAGCAAGGAAAATCGCTTTTTTTTTGTGTGTGTCACTTAATATTGTGATTCTGTCATATGTATATACATATTTATATTAATTGTAACTATTTAATAAAAATTAACTAAAATAAAAATTTTCTTTGTTGACCTAAGTAGGAATTGACTTAAAAAAGAGTTTTTTTATATTACTTGTTAAATGTGCATTTCCTTTTAGATGGGATTTTTATCTGTACGCATGTAATGGAACGGGTTCTTCATCTTAGGTGGGGGGGGGTTCTTTTTTGGGTGGAGGGAGACTATATTCGGTTAAGTGTTTGAAATTAAATTTAAAATCTAAATAGTTTTTCCTTATTAGTTCAGTTGATAATTTGTAACAATCAGCCTTAAAAAAATATTATAAACATCTATATTTGCTAAAATTAATTTTAAAAAAAATATTCGCCTTTTAGCCTGAATTATTCATATTTAATGATTTAACTATGCATTTTATAAAATTTTAGTCTTCTTATAGGCCACTCATTTTGTCATTGCCTGAAGATCGCGGGAGTGAGAGGGTTTGAGGAAGAAGCAAATATGAGACTTTTATTTATAATCATCAACTCTTTTCATAATCCTAACTTCTAATCAGATAACTTAACTATGCGAAGTACTTATCTTCATTAAAGCTACATATCCAAACGAACAAACATTATCTTCCATGAACCACACACACAAATTTAAATAAAAACCCCGAGAAGCGGCTCATTAAACGATAATTTGGAATCATGGCCAAAATTTAAAACCATTTAACTGTTTGACTGAGAAAAATCAAAGCTTTAAAAATCAAAACAAGGTTATTCTAAGTTTTTAATAAAAAAAATTTGCACTTATCACGATTTTACGTATGAGAAACTGGGGGAACTAGGCGAACTTAACTTAATGCTCTTCATTGTCTAAGTTTTACTGTCTGCTTTCTTTTTCACATTTTGAAAATTCGCTGTTGTACAATAAGTTCTAATCAATCTTTCGTTATTTTTTTTTTTTTTGGTAACGATGCTATGAATACTTAGAAATATATGTGACAAAACGTCGCATTCCCAACCTATATCGAATCATTAAAAAATACTTAATTAGGAACGGCACGAGTCTGTAAGTGAGTAAAAAGTGTGACGAAAATACGAGAGCAGAATTCACGGTGTAATTTACAATTTCTCTCGGTGGCCCGACTCGGGTCAGGGACACAGTTAAGGTGCATGCGCAATGCTTATTGCTGATTTTTAACTTCAAAAGATGCCGCCGGAAAAAAAAAGTCGCCTACCCCTTCTCTGTGGTACCTTGTGACAGCAAGAAAAAAACAGGTAATTTATAGGTGTTATTTTGTATTTATTTTATTTCTTTGAAACAAAGTTTTTATTTTCCTTTTGCTTTATCGCTCTGTTATCTATAAAGAACACCGAACGAGCTGTTGTTTCGAATAAAAATGATAACTATGTATGTTAAATTCTCAGATACATGTATTCCGTGTACTTCTGGCTATATTTCTCGCTGGACTTTTCTGATGGGATCCCGAGTTATTTTTGACTAAGGGATGTGATTTTCCGAGTTATTGAAAATCAATTCAGTGTTTTTTCTAGCTAGATTTTTTTCTCTCGGCCCCAGTGCTTGAATATAATGCTTCGCATTCTTTTTTGTTTCTTTTGATCATGTAGTATTTTTTTTTCAATGGGACTGCGCATTGGTATTTTAAACCTTTGCAGACCTAGTACATTCCCCAGGAGCTGGTACCACTTTTTAGTGCTGCGCCATATAGGCGATACCAATTACAGCATGCAATTTTGACGCCCAGTTTCCCCGAAAGAGGGAGGTACCTGAGTTCTTGACGATGCGAACTTTGTACTAGGATTTAATTTTGCCCAGAGCATCCAAGCCAAACAGACACTCTAAGGATCTTTCACATGCCGTATAATCTTACGACATGGCCGCTGTCGATTTTCTGCATCAAGAAAACCCACCGGCTTGGGCCGGGGTCGAACCCGCAACCTTGGGTGTAGAAGGCCAGCGACAAACCAACCACGCCACCCAGCCGGCCATGTAGAATGCTAGTACGTTTCAAGGCATGGGCCAACTGAGTCTGGGCGCAGGGCCTCAGCCGCCGTAGGGTGAAGCCCCGACTCAACCTCTATGTGATTATAATCCGAATAATTTTAATCCTCGAATGTTATTCCAGGGCATGTTCTCTGAAAAAAATGAGAATTTTGGACTCTGTGCCGCAACTGACAACAGTGGCAAGATTGCGTTATGTCATTTCCGAGGTCCTGTCAAGACCTAGGCCTATCATCATATGTAACTATTTAGACTAAGGGTGACCAACCTGCGGTCCGAAGGCTGCATGGCGGTTTACAAAATTCATTATAACTACAAAATACGATTATTTGTGCAAAATTTTTGTTTTTAGTGGTGTTTAGTATCAAATAAATCTGAAAACAAAGATGAAATTTATAGAACATTAATCGAGTTAAAAAGTAACGGATGAAAACCTCTACAACACCATTTACGATGTTCAAAAACTAAGTGTAAGAATCGTGAAACAAACATCCCACTAATTAAATAAATTAACCATTATTTGATAATTGCATTATTATTATTATATGATCTATGTCTTGTATACATGGAAAATATTGAAAACAATAATAGTTCATTCTGTTTTAGATTTTAATTCAATAATTGTTTGTAATGGGTGAAAATCTAATATATAAAGGTGTATAATTTTATAAGTGGCCCTCGAGGTTAAAATTCTTTTTCTGTAGTGGCCCGAAAAGCCATTTGAGCTGGTCATCCTTGATTTAGGTGATAGGCAGCAGTCGGTTTCTGCCTAGGTTTATGAGATTGCGAGTCATGGATATTTGTTGGTTAAGGGCTATACCGTTTGTGCGAGTATTTGAAAACGAATACATTAGTAACAGTTCTATCCGCGTTTTTCCTAATAATCCTTTTGGGGAATTACTTTCTTTAAATATTTTTAATTGAAAAACTTCCTCCCGAAGAAGACTCGATATATGTAAATTATGTCGTGTATTTAAGTATTAACTTTTAGATTCGAGGGGAAGAGAGAGGTTTGAAACTAAAGGATAGCAATGAATATTAACGTAAGATAACGTAAAGCTAGGCGAGAGCATTTCGTAGATTATTTGATTAGTATTAAGATTGACGATAAGTGTAAGTGATCCAGTTTATTATTATACCTCCAATTATCTCGTCTACTTCGCTATTGTTCCCATATTTATCAATTGGTGTATTTCTTAACTTGGGTTGTTACATTTGTGTCGTTGTTGAGACAAGTAAATAAATTGTGTTGTTTTGACTATGACTAGTTTTCCTTTTTAACTCTCGTACACTGATGGCTGGAGAAACCCAACTGCCTTCATAAAAGGGTCGCAGGGTAGGGCCTACCTTTTTTTATAGGTTTTGGAGCAATCTTTGTAACCAGGGACTTGAGATAAGCTCTCCGGAAATAATCAGGAGGTGATAAATCCGGTGAGCGCGCAAGACTGCTCTTGAAAACACCCAAGAAAACCTTGGATGTATGGACAGTAGACTCATCTTGTCAGGATCCTTTTCTTGGAAAGCGGGTAAGAAGAATTGTTGGATGGTTGTCACATACCGGTCTGAATTGACACACGAACTCGTTCAGCATTTTCAGGTGTTCTAATGATCCTCTGAGATCCTTTCCTTTCTTTGGAGACATTCCCCATTCCTCGAAAGGCATCCATCCGCATTAAAACACATTTCCAAATAGGAACACGACCTCGTGGAGGAATATCAAAGTGACGACGGAGGGTACGTTGCACTGCAATCACCGACCGACCGTTAGAGAAATACGCCTCCACGACAAATGCGTGCTGTTGCCTCGGCCACAACATGTTTGAGACTGAGACGGGCGGGATCTCTAATATACCTCTCCACCCCTTCTACCGAGCCCCTCCCTATGAACATCACTGTAACATGTTCAAAACAGGAAATTCCAACGCCCCACCATATAGCTCGAATTCTCAGTTTTTCGGAGAATATTATCCAGGATTATCACTAGAGGATTAGAAATATTCGGGTCATATTGATGCCGTGTCGAGAACGAGACAAATCCCTCCCTTCCCCTCGAGACCCAGTCGGCCCATACCTTAAGACATCCCTGCATATGTTCACACTGTGAAGGTCCACTCAAAGTTTGACTATCAAACTCCAAGGAAAGATTACTACTGGAACTCGACAGGACATTGACACCAAATGGCTTGATACAAAACAGCAAAAAAAAGTCACATTCCTAAATAGTCATTTAATGGTTAATTGTTATTAATCACTTTATGGTTTGGCTAATTCAAAATGTAAGGGGACGATGAATTGAGGTAATTCTAAATAATCAAAATGTACTTATCTGTAATCGCCAAAAGAATCCATGAACTGGTGTTGCTTCTCGCAGTAATGGATGAGTTATATCTGAACCACAATAAAACCAGGTGTGGAGATTTAATATGTGAACAATTTTAATAGTAAATAAATGTTTAGGTGTCTAGACAAGGAATTTCTATCTATCTATATATATAGGCGATAGAGTATTTATATCTCAGTCTAGAAATATATAAATATCACCCCACTTTCAAACCATGCACATATACCTCGCTTTACTCATTATTACTAAAATTCACCAATACGTTTACATTGTAAGAAATTGACAGCTCAACTTTCAAAAAACTTTAAAAGGCCAAAATTAGCTAGCGAGGTATCCCGTTATGACGAATTATGTTTTTCTTTTGCATTTTTCATTGCATTTATTTTTATATTATTTAAAATTGAATAACAGCATATTCTGTTACAAATTTATCACTTACATTTTAAATTATCACTGAAATAT